TTGCAGATGACATGATAGTATACTTGAGTGACCCCAAAGATTCCACCAAGGAACTGATAAAGCTTATAAACTTATAAAAAAAATCAGTAGCCCTCCTATATACAATGGACAAAGAAGCTGAGAAGGAAATCAGAGATACATCACCCTTTACAATAGGGTGAGGGGTTTTTAAGGGGAAAAACTAGGCAGGGTGGTACAAGCCTTTGCATCATATGATTGGGTGAGGGTGTGTAACCTTTGAATTTACTGGTTGGGGGTTACAGTTATCACTTTTGGGCAGGCCTGGACAAGTCCCAGGCTTTGTCCTTGGGCTGCCATGGGGCTGGCTGGCTGGCCTAGCACCTACTGACTATGGGGCCGACTCAGTGGCCCAGGCTCTGTCCTTGAGTTGCCATGGAGGTTGGCTGGCCTTGCAGGTTCACATTGACCCATGCACATAGCTCTAAGTTGGTGAGGGGTTCCCAGACAGTAAACAACTGGCTGAACCTTGAACAGTCAGAGTACGTGCAGAAAAGGAGCTACTGGAAGGACTATGTCTTTTGTTCACGGCCCTCCCAGAAACTGCTTGCTCAAGTCTCAGGAAACTGAAATTGAGGCCTGATCTCTGAGAGCAGACTGAGCAGCCTGTATGGCATCTGCTTGGTCCTTTCAATATACAGAAATAAGAGAATGGGAAAAGCCCAGAGGCAAAAAGTAGATGGGATAATCTAAGTGAAGGAAAACTGGCTAGAAACTAAGGCAACCTAAAACAGGCATTGATAATTAAGGATAAGCCCCCATGTGTGATTGATTAGGGAGCTGGGTGGCAGGCCCCCAAAGGAGTGAAAACCCCTGACAAGTCCCACCTCTCACTCAGGCAGTTCTCCTTCCACTCTGCCCAACTCTGCAGCTTCGGTAGCCTTCTCAGCCCAGCGGTCCAGCTATCCCTTGAAGATGCTGAGCTCGAAAAATCGCCCCTTGATTACTTTGAAATAATTAACTACTCTCCTTCTCTTCTAGCTCTCCAATATATCAAAAAGAATGGCAGGAAGGAGGAAGAGGATGGCTGCTATTACTGAAATACCAAAGGAGCAGGAGGACAAGAAGATGGTCACTGCCTTGCTTGAGAAGGAGCCTGAGGCTCTTGGTACTTTCAAGATAGCCAGTTCATAAAGGGCTTTATCTGCTTTGGACTTCATTACATCCAGCAATCCATGGATAAGGGCTGCCCTCCACAGCACTGAAAGTGCCTCCTGTGGCTACCTAGTTCACCAGGCCTTGAACCAACAGCTACCCACCGACTTAAGATGGCCCAAAGATAGGGACCAAGGGGGATAAGAGCAAAGGCAAGACTTGGTTGATTACTGGGGACTGCACAAGTGTGAATCCCCATACTGGCTGTTTCACCCTGTGTCTTTTGGAGTTCCCAGAAGTGTTATCAAAGAGAAGGTAGACAGTGATGTTGAGCATAAAGGAAGACATGCACCATCATTGGTTATACACAGTTAATTCAGAGAAGCAGGAAGCTGGCAGAAGCTCCCAGGGCCAACTGCAATGATCGATGATGAGATTGCTATCAATGGACAGGCTACATCTCAGGGATAAGATCTGTGGCCAGCTAGAAAAACCACATTGCCAAACTAGAAAATAACCCATTACTAAACTAGGTCTCATGTACACTGAGTTCTTTTCTGTAATGATTTGTTTTTTTTAATATATTCATTTGTGTGTGTGTGTGCGCGCGCGCGTGCGTGTGCGTGTGCGTGTGCGTGTGCGTGTGTGTGTGTGTGTGTGTGTACATAGGTCTGTAGGTCTCATACCTTTTCTGGAGTGACAGCCATGAGAAGATGCCAGGTGTTCTCCTCTGTCACTGTCCACCGATTCCTTTAAGGCAGCATCTCTCCCTCAAGTTAGTGGAGTTTTTCTCTACTAGACTGGAAGCTAGCAACCCCCAAGGACCCTCCAAGGTGAGACTGTACCCACAGGCTGGCCACCGGGCTGATTGCATGGATGCTGGGTTCTCATGATTGCACAGTGAGCACGCTTAACCACTGAGCCATCTCTCTAGCCCCAACTGCTGAGTTTTCTGTACACAAAACTAACTTAAATTATTCTTCAATAATAATAATAATAATTGGGCTGGGGCCATAGCTCAGTTGGTAGAGTGCTTGCCTAGCATGCACAAAGCCCTGACTTGGTCCCCACCACAAGGCTGGCTGGCCCTTGTCTGTAATCCCAGCACTCAGGAGCAGAGGCAAGAGGATCAGAAGTTCAAGGTCATCATTGTGCTCTGCAACTACTAGGCATAATGAGATGTAATAGTCTCTCACTATTGTTATTATTCTCTAAAAATGCCTCATTTCATCTGTAACTTCCCCAAACTGTGGTTTTCAGAACTGTCAACAGTCATCCATGGGCAACATGACCAAATAGAAATGTCTGGGTCACAGACTTCCTTATTTTTATAAATGTGTAGTTTATTCCCAACATTTTTTCCTAAAACTGCATTGGATTGCTTTCTCAGCCCCATTGCATCATAGAGTTAATTTTTAATTATTAACTATGAGCTGGAGAAATGGGCCAACATCTCTCATCAAGAACTCTATCTACTCTTCCAGAAGACCTCAGTTTGACTCCCAACACCCACATGGCAGCTCACAGTCACCTGTAACTCCAGTTCCAGGGGACTGGAGATCAGATTCCCTCTTCTGTCCTCAGTGGGTACTAGGCATGCACAAAGTATTCAGACATACACACAGGAAAAATATTCATACTCATTAAAAAAAATTAAACTTGTTAACTTAAAGCACCAATTTTTAAATGAGATAAACCATATGTTTCCACCTTATACCTGTATATAGGAATTGGATTTTAGATGCAATGTCAGGATGTTATATTTGCCTGTTAAATTTTATCTTTGCTGAGCTAAATCTGACACTTTCAGTCTGCAGTGTCCCTGACTACCTACCCCAGCCTCTTTTGGTCATTTGTTCCTCTAAATTGCTCTAGCAAAATACATCTATTTCACTTATTTGTTATATTACTACCAGTGCTTAATTGTGTTAGCCATCTATTAATGAAGGTTGAGTCCAAAGACTATAATAACATACTTTACTTTTAGAACCTATAGCATGCCACATTAGACAACCTTATACTGGATGTGGTAACATGCCTATAATCCCAGTACTCAGAGCCTAGGCAGAAAGCTCATGAGTTTGAGGCCACCCTTAGCTACATAGTGAGACCCTGTCTTGAAAACAAAATCATAACCAGTGTGATGGTTAAACTTGATTGGCAACTTAATAGAATCTTGTTGTGGAATAGAATATTTGTTTGACTGTGTAAAGATATGTTGCCTTTGTTTATGCTGCATTTCTTTAACTATGTAAAGTTATGTTGCTGTTTCACCTTGCCTGCCTAAGGCACCTGATTGGTCTAATAAAAAGTTGAATGGCCAGTAGCTAGGCGGAGGAGGGATAGGCAGGGCTGGCTGGCAGAGAGAAAAGGGGAACTAGCCAGCCAGCCAGGGACCAGGCAGACAGACACGAAGGAAATAGGAAGCAGGATGGACAGTATGTAGATGACGCAAATGAGCCTCAGGGCAGCACAGAGATGAACAGAAATGGGTTGGTTTAAGTTGTTTTTGTGTTTTTTTAAAGCTACTTAGAAACAAGCTTAAGCTAAGGCCAAGCATTCATAATTAATAATAAGTCTCTGTGTCTTTATTTGGGAGCTGGTTGGAGGCCAAAAGAAAGCCTGCCACAGGATCTGAAATTAACTAAGAGTCTTGTACCTGGGTAGGTCTACAAGGAAATGTTTAGTTATCTGAAAGGAGAAGACCCTTCCCCATTGTGGGCAACAAATTCCATGGCTGCCCAGATATAAAGAATTTCTTGTTTGCCTGCTTGCCTTTCTCCTTCATGGTGAGTGTATCTGCCCTGCTGCTGCTGTCCCTCACTGACATCAGAATCCAGGTTCTTCAGCCTTCCAATGTGGACTGTTCTTCAGAAATCCCTTGGGCCTTCAGAACCATATCAGGATTATTGAGGTACCCAGCATGGTGGACTGAGCAACTATTGTATCTCAACCTCTACAACATGCAGACAGCCATTATTAGACTGCCAAGCTCATATCATCTAAGGTAGTCTACTTCACACCCTGGTAATACATATTCATTCCATTAGTTATGTTCCTCTACTGAACTCCAACTGATCCAACTAGTAACTAACAATTATTTTTAAAACATCAATTTTAAGCATATTCACGGAATCCAACAGTGTTTTCTTTTCAATACTTGTAATTTTCTAGACCTGTAACTACAGTGAGTTGATAAAGAGAAACTATTATATTTTCCCACCTCCTCACAAAGAAAACAAATGGATAAGCCCATGAACTTGTGAGTAGATGGCTTATAACTTCAGTTCTAAGTCTCTGGGCATCATTACTTCTTTTAAAGTATATTTTACTAAGCAGAATTGTAAGATAGATGGCCCATACAGAAGGTTGAAAAGAGCCATTGGCTTCAGCCCTCAATGCTTGAAGAGGTTTTATGTACAGCTACATGGACTAAAATTAAAATATGTATTCATAGACAACTCTAAACTCATGTCCCACTACAACCCATTCTCATTTCAAGCACTGTGAGTGAAGAAGACATTTTACCACATGCTGTAAGGAACTAGTGAAGTTCTAAGTGACTGTATGTTGTTTGACAGGGGCATGGCCTCTTCAAAGAGCCATGTCTCACCCCCGTGGGAGTGGCGAAGCCTTCCCTGGGTGAAACTCAGAGGGATGGCAATGCTTTGCTCAGTCCAACCCTGAATGTTGACAGTGTAGGCAAAAAATGTCCACCATAGTTTTCTGCCTCTAGTGTTTACATCCTGAAGACTGCTCCCCTACAGAGACTGCTTCTAGAAAGATAAACTAACCCTGCCTTTGTGTTCAGCTGTATACAATAGCCCCACCTCCCCTCAGCTCTATATAATAAACACACGGAGCTTCTGCCATACTGTGGCTTCTCTATCAGAGATCTACCTAACCCCTGCTTTTCTGTATCTGTGTGTTCAAATATCTTTTTGTCCGTTCTTCATTCCCTGGACACCCCAGTTAGGTCCTTCTCTGGAGCCATGATGGTGCAGCAACATCCTCTCATTGCTGTCTCAAGAACAATGATACTCTATTATGTTTGGGCTTTAAAGGACAACATTAACCTATTAAATGGAAACATTTTAAATTGTATGGTGATTTTATGTTACCCTCCTTTTTTAGTGTTTTGAGACAGTCTCACTCTGTAGCTGTGGTGGTTTGAATAAGCATGGTCCCCACGGGATCCTATATTTGAATGCTTAGTCCCCAGGGAGTGGAACTGTTTGAAAGGATTAGAGGGATTAGGGAGAATGGCCTTGTTGGGGAGGCGTGGCCTTTTTGGAAGAAGTGTGTCACTAGGGGTGGGCTTTGAGGTTTCAAAAGTCCATGCGACACCCAGTCTCTCCTCCTCCCCCCTCCCCCCACCTGAAGATCAGAATGGAAACCTCTCTGCTACTTCTCCAGTGTCATGTGTGCCACTATGCTCCCCACTGTGACAATGGACTAACCTCTGAACCATAAACAAGCACTCAATTAAATGTTTTGTTTTTTAATTTTTTGTTTTATTGAGAGCTACCTTAGTCATGGTGTGTCTTCACAGCAATAGGACAATGATTAAGACAGTAGCCTCGGCTAACCTCAAATTCACAGCAATCCTTCTACCTCAGTCTCCTCCCAAGTACTGGGATTAAAGAGGTGAGATACTATGCCTAGCTCTGTATTACCTGTTTCTAAAATTCATTTTCTGCTAGGCATGGTGGCACATTCATACCTTTAATCCCAATACTTGTGAGGGAGAGGCAAGCAGACCTTTGTGAATCAAGGTGATTCTGGTCTACACAGGGTGTTCCAGGCCAGCCAGGGCTATATGATGAGATCCTGCCCATCCCTTCCCTCCCTCCCAAAAAAGAGAAAACATAAACTAAAATAACAGTTACCTTTTAATACTTTGGTTATGTCAATAAACAGGAATAAGATGGGCATTTCTCAGCCTCTCAGAGACCCTAGAGGCATATGAGTGTCACGATTCCACAACTTAAGTGTTCTCCTGATGCTGCTTAGTGCTGTCTACACTAAACTTACTGCCACTTAATGCGTGAGCTTTTTCCTAGATGACTCCTCTGAGAACATTCCATTTGATACATTTTTAAACTCATTTCTTAATTTTATCATTTCTAAAAGAGAATACATAAATCCAACTAAGAGTCAGCAAGAAAAAATTCTACAGATAAAAAGGCGTTACTTTTAGATGGGTCACAGTGACACATGCCCTTTCTAAAAATAATTTTATTTTTCTGAGATTAAAACATAATTGTATCATTTCTTCTCTTTTTCCCCCATGTATCCTCTTGCTGTCTTTCAAACTCATGGCTTCTTTTTCTTTAATTGTTGTTACATATAAATGTAGATATCCTAAATATATAAATACAACCTGCTCAGTCTGTATAATGCTTCCTGTATGCATGTTTTTAGGGATGACCATTTGGTGTTGGATGACCAGTTGGTGGGCTCTTCCTTAGAGGAGACGATTTCTCCCACTCTCAGTACTATGTGGTTGCTTGTAGTTCTGTTTGTAGGGTTGAGGCCTCCTG